ATATGAAAAAAGAAAAAATTGGTGATGTATGTTTGATAATCACTACTTCCAATATGTTTGATTTTAGCACAAAATTAATGCACTGAAAATGTGTAATTGCACACAAGTGTAACAAGGCATGAACCATATGATATTGACACACAAGTGAAAATTGTCATAACTTGTACAGTGTTACATAATTATTTGCGATAATACCAAAGGGGTGATGAAATATTTATGGTCTATGAGCATGAAAATATAGTTGTGAATGATATTGACTAACAAATCGCTCAAAGTAACAATGTTGGTTTGTTTTCTCGGTCACATGATAGAGAAATGCAAGTTCAACGTGAGAAGATTGTCTGTACTATGTGAGAGGATTATATTAAAGACTAGCACACTACAATTTATGTTCAATTTTTTTTATTGAATCAAAGTTTGATCAATTAAAGTTAGATGAAACAATCAATTATATAAGTGAGAACAGGTAGCTTTGTAATAATTTATTATGCGATTTTATAATTTTTTGTTTATTTGGTAAGATTGAATAAACAATTGGGGTTATTTTAATAGTTTTACAACTTATGACATTCTGATGTTTATGAGAAAATATACAACACAAAAATTTCATATCGCATGTCCAAACAAAACTTTAACTTTATCTCATTATTCCATATTATGATAGTATATCATGATTCCATATCGCATGGTCAAACGGACCCTTATAATATTTCATAATTTGGTATAATTAACAATGTAAAAATATATATAAATATCTCTTATACACAATTATATACTTGTATACAAAATTAATATATTATAAGTGCATGATAATGTATAATCTTATATGTTAGGTGTATAAATATTATTACAAAAAAAAGTTTGAAAATAAAGGTTGTTTTCGTTAAATCTTTGCAAAAAAAAAAAAAACAATACAAAGCAGAAGATTGGTATATGGATATATCTTTTAAATATGATTAGGTGAGTGCATAAATTATATGTTGGCTGTAATATATGTTTTAAAGAAATTTTGTACTCCCTCCGTTCCATATTATAAATCACCCCTTTCTAAAAATAGCTGGACCATAATATATGTCATTTTATAAAATTTATGCATAAATTATCATATTTTTTCCCATTATATCCTTGATTGATTAATTAATTAATCTTGAAAATGTATTACTTTAACTAACCTAGGAAATCTACAAGTAATTAATTTCATTGGGAGAGTACTTCATTCATTAATTAACTACTTTCTTTATTCACTACTTATTCTATAAAATTTAATTTTGAAAACAAATATCAACAAACAAATTAAAACTAAAAAGATGAAAACAAATTAAAAATAATCTTGAAAGTTGAAGCTTCAACAAATTTAATCAAGGAAGATGACATTTCAAAAAGTTCAAAGGATGTAAAAATAGAAAACTCAACCAAAACATGTGAAGGCCAAATTGAGAAAAATCAAGATCCAAATAAAGGAGTTATGCACCATTTAAATAAAAAAACAAATAATTTGTCAAACTAGAACTAAAATTCATTTGTCGTCTAATTTCATTATCAATAACATTAGATTCAACAGGAAAATTCAGATCAATTTAAAGTAATGGAATTTGAATATTTTGTGATGTTTTCATGTTTGCTTTAAGAATTTATATATAAAATTATGAAAAAATATTTTACACAAAATATATAGGAAAATTGAGGTGGGAAAAACTTGATTTTTAAATTTTTTTGGATCAATTGGTGAAAAATTTTGGCTCCAAAAAGTAAAATTTAAATAGTCATCCAAATGCATTTATATTTTTTAAATTTAACATTCCATCATTTATTACAAAGTTGTCATAAGCAAACATTAAATAAGGACATAAGGGTAAAATTACCTTATTTCTTAATGCAAGTGCAAATAAAAAAGGTGACTTATAATATGGGACGGAGGGAGTAATATTAACGGCAATCCTCTCTTAATTACAATACATGGAAAGGAAATGCCATTTTCAATATTCGTATTCGCAAAACACGTACACTTATTATACGTATACGACAATTTTTAATATTAATATAATATATCTTTCAGATTTTTTTTTAAAAATCACATGTATAAAGCACACGAAATTAAAGGTGATTTTATTTTCATTTCATCTGTAAACTTTTTTTTCCTCAACATTTACCTAGTTAATAAAGTATATCAAACTCAAACAATTATCATATTTCGCCGCAATAATTTACCACCTTAATAAAGTATATCCAAACCTAAACAGTATTATTTTGAAAATAGTTTTCACGAATAAAATATTACTCCTATTGATATTGTCATCATATTATATTTATTTATTTATTTGGAAAATCACCACTTCATTAAACAATTGAAGTTGTACAAAGAGTTACTATAAATATTTTTTTGTACTTAATCTTATTAAGTGTCACGTCTTTACTTTTTCATTAAATCTTATCTTTCTTCATTCACATATTATTATGGTAAATTTTTTATCTATATTTAGTATTTACATTTAAGTAAACGATTAACTTTAGGCATTTTAGAAGTAAACTTGAACTTACATATTACTATATTATAATTATGGTGAAGTGAAAAATACTATTTTTAAAGACATTTATTTTTTATTCTTTGATTTAGTCTTGACCACTCTTTGATAGAAGAGTGGATTGTCAATATTGAGTAATTAGGAGGACGTGGCACGTGAGTACACAAATAATTCTATTCCTCGTTTGCCGGCGAATATTCCACGCTGCAATAAAGTGGAGTAACAAAAACATCATAAATTTTTAAAATTTTCTTTTTTGACTTCTACCTTACTAGTTTAAACACTTCTTTTTTCTTCTAATTTTAATTGCAATAAAATATAAAGAAATATAATTTTATTAATAAAAATATTGTAAGCGTAAATCTGTTTGTTTTGTTGATTCTTTTATTTGGATTTCCTTGAGATTTTTTATATCTCCTGTAAAGAGGATATTGTAGATTTTCTTGAAGTATTTAGTTGTCTAGAAAAATATATTTTTTAATATTTCATGAATTTATGAATTTTTTTGAAATATCTCTTGAAGGAATATATTCCTCTTTCTATAGACATAATCTAGGACTTACTCCAACAAAATTTCGATGTATATAAGCTTATTCAATATTTCAGTAGTATTCTAAGTATCGATGTTTTAATGATCGCAAAATAAAAGTTGGATTTTCAAATATAGGGATTAACTATCCTGGGATAAGTTGTCCCAAACATGACAATCAAATAAGAAACAATTTTTTTATCCCATCACTATTTATTTTCATCCCACAAATTTTTTATCTCATCACTATTTATTTTTATCCCTCACACCAAACGACTCCTAAATGATTGATAGTATTATTCTTATATATTTTACTATAATAAATAAGTTAATTTGATGTGATGCGGTATCAATTTATGATGGTGAATTTCATAGACTAGAAAAAGGTGGATGGAATGTGTCACCGTTAAATCAATATAAAATAAATTATTTATCGGCGCTCATGTCTCTTCAGATTCCTCGCCGATGTTCCCTCTCCCTGTCGTTTTCTTTATCCAAATTGATACCGCAATTATATCTTCATGTATCCATAATTTAAAGAGTTTTTTTATATAAAAAAAGTACACTAAATTGAAAGAGTCAAATCAAATTACTAGTTCGAGAGTTAATTATTTAAATTTATTCTAGTTTATAATATTATGAATTTTACCAGATTTTGGATTTTAGATACATGTATCTGGCGCATTCAGTTAATTACATTCAAATACATAGAATCAAAATTATCTGTAATTCATTTTAGATCTATACATTGTATCTAAGTGAATTCATATGTATTTGACTCTCTTGCTCACCTCTCTCCTTATATTTGGTATTCCAGATACATGTATCTAATGTGATTCACATGTATTTAAGGAGTTAATATCTTAAAAGGTCATTGAACTATGAGAAATTATCTAGTAAATACATTAAACTTTGTTTTATATCAATAAAATCACTTAACTTGAAGTTTTTATCTTTAAAAATCACTCAACTACATTTATCATTAGAATAAACTTGAAATAGCAAAAAAAAAAAATTATTTATGATTTATAAACATGAATCTCATAAATAAACAATTTTCTAAACTCTGTATTTAAGATACATATACTATCAAATTTATTTTAATGATAAATGTAATTTTTATAGATAAAGACCTTAAGTTGAATGATTTTGTTGATATAAAACAAAGTTAAATGACTTTGCTAGATAATTTTTCATAGTTTAATGACCTTTTATAATATTAACTCTGTATTTAAGACACATATACTATCTCGCTCGCCTCTCTCCTTTAATTTTTCTCGTTCGCCTCTCCCCTATTTTAGTGTATTTGGTAGCAAAAATACATGTATATATGTATCTGACTAGATATCTGTAATGAAATTATTAATTAATAAGATAATATGTAATTATTTCAAATTATAGGGAGAATTAATAAATATAGTAGTATTATTTGTCTAATTAGATAGTTTTTCCATTTCGTATACACTTTATTTCGATTCTTTTGTAACTCATAATTATGTAAAATTATGTTAGTTGATATTTTTTTTCATTAGAGACAAACTAATAAGAATCCCTCCTCACTTTAATATTATATATATATACGTTATACTGTTTCATTTAAAAATATTAAACCATCAGAAGAGACATCTTTATTTATTTAAAGTTTGTCAAATGGAAACTCCATTTGATTCTCTTCTTCTCTTTATTGAATTTGTATCCTTGTGATCATTGAGAATTCTTGGAACATTGTACTAAAATTTGAGCTATTTTTGTTGCTTAAATTTCAGTGTTTGTGGGAATAGTATATATGTATAATGCAATTGATGGGGTGGGAGGAGGGGAAAGTTATTTGTATGAGAATGATGGGGTGATGATGACAAGAGACCCAAAGCCAAGATTGAGGTGGACTGCTGAATTACATCAACAATTTGTTGATGCTGTCACTAAGCTTGGTGGCCCTGATAGTCAGTACTCTCTTTTAATCTTGTTTCATTTTGTGCTAATAAATGTTTAGCCATCTTTTTCTACTTTCTGTGTTGGGGATCACTGAATTCACTTGCAACAATAATAATAATATATACTCAGTGTAGTCCCACAAGTGGGGTTTGTGGATGGTGGTGTGTATGTGGACCTTACTTCTATACCTTGTGAAGGCAGATCAGAGAGATTGTTTTCGAAAGACAATTACTGAATTCATTTGTAGTTCCAAACTTATTTCTCTCAGACTTACAGTAGTGCAACTTTTAAGTAGTAATGAACAGTTGTTATGCTCCGATTCGAGTGGCTCTTTGATTCATTTTAAATTTTGCAAGTTGGTTTGGAATGGTGTTATGTATGTAGTAGAGAGGTATTCTTTGGAAAAGAATACTTTTTGCAGCCATTTTAGCTCTTGATTGTTACTTTATCAATTGAATGAGTATTTTCTATGCTATTTGGTTAATCTCAATGAGTCTACCATTAGATTGACCCCAATTTTGTTTCTGATATCCTGCTATTCATTGATCCACTTTTAGATCGATGTCCTTTTTGAGATAAAAGTTGTTAGTTGAGTGACTGTCTGAGAAATTAACTTGGGAATATGTGGAAAGGACTAAAATCATGTCAAGGCTGTCAATTCTGCTAATTGGAGTATCCTCTTATCTCTATTGCTTGAGATAACTTTGTCCACCTTTGACTTAGATTTAGCTTCAGGAGGTAAACTAGATAGTTAAAATATGAATTTTACATGCCTTCACTTGCTTGTGCTAAGTGAATTCTTGCATTTGAAGTCATTTTTTGTTATACGTACGGTGATGTTTGATGGAAGGTCTTGGATTTACAGAAGCAACTCCCAAATTAGTACTGAGGTTGATGGGCATGAAGGGCTTGACACTATACCATTTGAAGAGTCATTTGCAGGTAAAAGTTTGTTTCTATGCCTTGTTTTTTTCAATTTTTTCTCTCTCTGATAACCACTTTGGATGTCTTTTACCTTGTATTTTCAGAAGTATAGACTTGGACAGCTGGCCAAGAAACAAAATGCAGCAGAGGCAAACAAAGAGAACAGCGGTGAGTTTGCTATAATTTTGAGAATTTCCAGCAAAGAGCATAATAATGTGCTACATAAACCCTTGCCTATTTGATTGTAGAAATAGTCAACTTTGTATGATCTTTGTATGTTCGTTAAGGCTTCTCGTGTGTAGATTCGTTATGATGAAATCTTATCATGATTGCATTGTGTTCTCGAATTTCACAGGGGACTCCTCTGGACAGTTTGGTTTGCAGTCCTCAGGCCCCAGTACCTCTTCATTAAGTATGAACTTTATGCAAGGGTAGGTAACATGTTGTGTGCGATTGGTTTGCTAATGCCTCAATAGACCTTATTATTAGGCTTACATTTACTCGGTTAATCTGTTGACTTCTCGCTAATGAATGGCACCTCTGTCTAAACAGAGAAGTCCCAACCACGGAGGCTGTAATGTGTCACATTGAAGTTCAGAAAAGATTACAGGAGCAGCTTCAGGTATGCATAAACTTATTTACTAGCACCATTCGTATTCCTAATGAGCGTAAATCATGAAAGCATACAAACATTCTAATCCTGTTCTTCTAGCTATGTTTAGTCAACATTCATTGGCTTTAGGTCACCCATTCTAATAGCAAGATTAATTCTCGCTCTACACAGGTGCAACAGAAACTGCAAATGAGAATAGAAGCACAGGGTAAGTATTTGCAAGCAATATTAGATAAAGCTCAGAAGAGCCTTCCAGATAACATGAACTCTCCTAGTGCACCGGAAGCAACAAGGGCTCATCTCACTGCTTTCAATTCACCTCTGTCAAATTTAATGGATTACACGGTACATGGAGAGAACCGGGACAACAACATAGAGCAAAAGAAGGATATGAATCTTTATAAGCTCAAAGAAGATTCCATTAATTTCGATTTGAACTCCAGAAGTAGCTATATATGACTATCAATCATTGTTCTGTCCACACAAGATTATTACATAGTACATTATTTGCTCAAATTTTTCATTCATTGAAGAAACACGAATTCAAACATATTGAAGCTAATTAAGAAAGCGTTTTAGATATTCGTCCATACGAGTATAACAAACTTCAGGGTAGAGAGCAGAGGCTTCTTCAGCATTTTGTCCAATTTCAAAGTTAGTTAAACAACCTTCATAGAATATGTGGTAGAAATGTCCCACTCCTACCTGCCCAGCATAGTCCATTTCTGCATCAAATACCGAGTCAGATCTCTCTATAACAGTCGTTCTCGACAATAACATTTTACTATAATAGTTAAGTTTTCTTGTGGAAATGATTTTTAATGTTATATTATATGTTCTCTGTAATAACGTTTCACTATTTCACATGAGTCTTGTTCTTTTGTTTTAGTGAGAGCGAATGTTTTTGAATTATTAAATATTGTTTTGAAAAAAGTGAGTAAAGATTCTTTTAGTACAAAAAATTAAATTAATGAAAAGCATAACTAGGAGGGAACAATTTTCGGAGTGCAGTTTTACTACATTCTTTTGAACTAAATTAATGCACTTAAACTTTTGCAAGCATCAATCAGATACTAGTAAAATATATTATAATAAGATCTTCTTGAAATTATATTTACATATTCAACTGCATAAGATGTACTACTATATATTACAAATTCTTACAGTTAAAGCATATATATATACATATATATATTTATTTATTTTCTCTTTCATGTTAAACAAATTTTAACTGTTATGCTAAATCAGTTTAAAGATATTCTTAACACGATGTAATATTGTTTGCCTTGGTCAAACCTGCACAACTTTTCCTCAAAACGCCTCACAACATTAAGAGATTATACACCTTATATGTAACTTCTCAATCTTTTCAGCTATCAATGTAGAACTTGGTTCACACTCCCAACAGAAATCTTATTATATAAATGTTATCATATATTTAACACCACAAGTTTTAAAAATATTTTTCATTCTTAATTTTTTCATCGGACCAAACTATATCACATAAATTAAAAGGCCGAGTAGTTATAAGTACCTTTCATGGAAGATAGGAAATCTTGTTCAGAGATGCTAATTTTCTCAAGTTGTGTCCCTTTAAGCTTTTCCCACTTGGCTATCAATTCCCTTTGAGTCATAATGTTTTCTGGTGGTCTAAGGTACACTGTCTTGTTCATTGTCCTTGGATCATCTATGCTTTTTATAGTGTATGTTGCCACGTCATCCTCATCCATGTACACCACTGAATAAAAATAACCCAAATAAGAAAGACAAAAAAGAGAGTCAAATTTTACAAAATATAAAAACTATATTATAAGTACTTTACTTATAATAAAAGCTACTCCATTCATTCCATTTTATAAGATATTATTTATTTTTCATCTGCTTTGAAAAGAATAACGACTTTTTTATATTTTGAAAACTATTTCACTTTGACAACCCACTCCACCCTTTAAAGGCACTTTCTTTTATATATCCGTAATCGGTATATAGAAATGTTGCTACTTTTCATATCTTATATTATATATTATTTGTCAACGCTATTAAAGTATGTCTCAAATTACTTGTTAACTTATAAAATTAATATGTTATTAGTTGTTTTTTTTATTTTTACTATTAAAATTAATTCCTTTTGAAAATGTAAATAATATCAATCGCCTATATAAATATTATAAAGTTCCAAAAGAGTTACTCTATGGGTGTGTTTGGTATGAAGGAAAATGTTTTCCATGGAAAATGTTTTCCTAGAAAATGTTTTCTTGGAAAACAAGTTGATTTTTGACTTATTTTCTCATGTTTGGTTGGTGATTAGAAAATATTTTCCGGAAAAGATTTTTAGTGTTTGATTTATGAATGAAAAATATTTTTGAGAAATATCTTTTATTTTTACTAGAGTAGAAAATAATTTTTGAAATTGAAA